CCATGGTAGCTTATTTGGCACTTACAAGCACTAAAATCAATGGAATATTATGAAATATTTCATAGGAGCATGTGAGGGGACCGTCACTCACTGGTAAATAATGGCACACTGGCTGGGAAGGCAGGCCCAGGCGGCTCAGAGCGTGGGTACCCGTCCCGGACGAAGGACGATTAGCGAGTTAACGGACCATTTGCGAGCCAATATTTAGATGAAAAAACAGGACTATTTCCGAAATGGACGACTTTCAGGCCGGACGATTATTGAGGGACCACTGTATGTAAAAAAAGTAGATCTTCTTTTTGTTTTTCTACATTTGAAAATGTGTAAAAAGACTTTGATCTACTTTTTTTTTTGTTATATTTGAAAATATGTAAAAAAAACTTAGATCTATTTTTGTAGCACTACACATGTGAACGTAGATCTGCTTGGACCGTTTACGGGTTAATATATTTATAGATGGGGTTGTAAAAGAAGTAAATGCTAGGGTGTTCCGGAGAGGGGTGGGATTAAATTATGGGGAATCAAATACAAAATGGGAATTGACACAGTTGCTTTTTGCTGATGATACTGTGCTTATGGGAAATTCTAAAGAAAAATTGCAAAGGTTAGTGGACAAATTTGGGAAATGGGAAGTGTCACAGTTACTTTTTGCTGATGATACTGTGCTTATGGGAAATTCTAAAGAAAAATTGCAAAGGTTAGTGGACAAATTTGGGAGTGTGTGTAAAGGTAGAAAGTTGAAAGTGAACATAGAAAAGAGTAAGGTGATGAGAGTATCAAATGATTTCGATAAAGAAAAATTGGATATGAAATTGGGGAGAAGTATAGAAGAAGTGAATGTTTTCAGATATTTGGGAGTTGACGTGTCAGCAGATGGATTTATGAAGGATGAGGTTAATCATAGAATTGATGAAATAAAAAAGGTGAGTGGTGCATTAAGGTATATGTGGAGGCAAAAAATGTTATCTATGGAGGCAAAGAAGGGAATGTATGAAAGTATAGTAGTACCAACACTCTTATATGGGTGTGAAGCTTGGGTTGTAAATGCTGCAGCGAGGAGGTGGTTGGAGGCAGTGGAGATGTCCTGTCTAAGGGCAATGTATGGTGTAAATATTATGCAGAAAATTAGGAGTGTGGAAATTAGGAGAAGATGTGGAGTTAATAAAAGTATTAATCAGAGGGCTGAAGAGGGTTTGTTGAGGTGGTTTGGTCATTTAGAGAGAATGGATCAAAGTAGAATGACATGGAGAGTGTATAAATCTGTAGGGGAAGGAAGGTGGGGTAGTGTGTATGAGCGTGTTCGATAGGAGTGAATGGAAACGAATGGTATTTGGGACCTGACGATCTGTTGGAGTGTGAGCAGGGTAATATTTGGTGAAGGGATTCAGGGAAACTGGTTATTTTATATAACCAGACTTGAGTCCTGGAAATGGGAAGTACAATGCCTGTACTCTAAAGGAGGGGTTTGAGATATTGGCAGTTTGGAGGGATATATTGTGTATTTTTATACGTATATACTTCTAAACTGTTGTATTCTGGGCACCTCTGCAAAAACAGTGATTATGTGTGAGTGAGGTGAAAGTGTTGAATGATGATGAAAGTATTTCCTTTTTGGGGATTTTCTTTCTTTTTGGGTCACCCTGCCTCAGTGGGAGACGGCCGACTTGTTGAAAAAAAAAAAAATGCTAAGTGTCATAACATGACTCAGTGAAGTAATAAATCCCATGTGGCCAGAATCAGAGAGCACAATTTAGATTAAAATACAGTCAAGGGCTCGACCTGGTCGAATTCAACCAGGTTGAGCCCTCTCTCCAGTTCACATTAGAAGAAGTCGACAACACTCTTCCTTTCCTCGATGTTCTTCTCTGCAAAGCTAACCTTGAACTTCGTTTTAAAATCTATCGGAAACCTACCAACTAACACGATCTTCTGCACTTCTACTCTCACCACGACACCAAAACTAAACGTGGTGTAATTATAGGCTTTTTCCTACGTGCACTTAGAATCTGCAGCAGTGAGTTCCTTGAAGAAGAATACTCTCTTATTGTACAAGTATTTTCTAAACTTCACTATCCTCGTCACTTTATTAGAGACTGCAGACAATGGGCAATAAACATCTTTAACACACCCAGAGAAGACACTGCCAAGAAGAGATACATAGTCCTCCCCAACAACTCCATTACCAAACACATTTCCAACATCTTCTCCAAAACCTCATTCCAAGTATCTACTTCCACATCCACCACCATCAAGGACATTACCAGTAACAGACAGGACAAGCTTCGATCCTCTGCAGGGGTATACACAATCCCTTGTAATGACTGCAGCAAATTATACGTCGGCGAAACATCCAGAGACCTCCAAACACGTATTTCAGAAAACCAGTAAGAAGGCAGATCTGATGATCCAAGGAATGCCTTTGTTCAACACCGAAATTCACACAACCATTTCATCAACCACAGAAATGCAAGACTTATTGCTGGAGAAGACAACACTCAATACTGAAGAATCCTGGAATCATCACTTATCTGTACATCCAACAACTTCAACCAGAACAACAGCTTGTATAACATAGCTGAACCCCTCGCCAAGAAACTTCTTCATCGCTATCCCACATAAGAACATAAGAATCGAGGAACACTGCAGAAGATCCACTCATATACTTATCCAATCTCTTTTAAAAGCTACCCAAGTTTTTAGACTTCTTCACTCTACTCCGAAGATTGTCACATGCAGCTTTTTCCACCTGACCCAGCATTCTCATCCTATATATACTCATGTATATATACTCATGTAGATCTGTTTGTGACTTGATAAAGCCCACTGCGTGGGCAAAACGTCGTCAATAAAGGATCACATTATACTGCTGAAGTGTTTATATTTCCATTGTGTCGGTATTTTATACCATTTATTTCCAGGGGTTCCTATATTCAGATCAGGGGATAAGTCCGTTCCTTCAAATTACCGCCCAATAAGCCTGACATCTATAGTGGGCAAGTTATTAGAATCATTTATAGCTGACAATATTAGAAGTCACCTTGAAGAGTATAATTTGATTAATGAATCTCAGCATGGGTTCACGAGAGGTTGTTCCTGCCTGACAAATTTACTGACGTTCCTCAATAGAACATTTGAGGCAGTAGACAGTGATAAAGAATATGATATTGTTTATTTGGATTTTAGTATAGCCTTCGATAGAGTATCTCACAAGAGACTCTTAAGAAAAGTGGCAACTCATGGTATAGGAAGTAAAGTTCTAGCATGGATAGAGACATGGCTTACCAATAGAATGCAGAGTTTTTCCATTAATAGGGTCAAATCTGAATGGGGATTAGTCATTAGTGGCATTCCACAAGGATCAGTTTTAGGCCCTCTCTTGTTCATAATTTACATTAATGACCTTGATGAAGGGATTACAAGTGACATTAGCAAATTTGCTGATGATACAAAGATAGGCCATATGATTCATTCTGAGGAGGATAGCAATGAACTCCAGGAGGATTTGGACAAATTAATGTCTTTGTCTGAAAAATGGCAGATGAAGTTCAATGTGGATAAGTGTAAGGTACTAGTCCTTGATAATGAAAATAACCCTCGAAGCTATAAACTAGGTGAAATAGAGCTTGATTATACAGAATGTGAAAAAGACTTGGGAGTCATGGTAAGCAGAAATCTAAAGCCAAGACACCAGTGCCTAAGTGTGTGCAACAAGGCTAACAGATTACTTGGATTTATCTCAAGAAATATAAGTAACAGAAGTCCAAAAGTTATTTTACAGCTCTATACATCACTAGTAAGGCCTCATTTAGATTATGCTGCTCAGTTTTGGTATCCTTACTACAGGATGGATATAGACTCACTGGAGAACATACAGAGAAGAATGACTAAAATGATTTACTGTGTAAGGAATCTCCCATATGAAGATAGACTTAAAGCCTTTAATCTCCACTCTCTGGAGAGACGCAGAACGAGGGGAGATATCATTTTAGTGTATAAGTGGAAAATGGGCATAAACAAAGGAGATATTAATAAAGTACTGAGGGTGTCAAACCAGGTAAAAACCAGAAATAATGGATTTAAGTTGGATAAATTTAGAAAGGACATAGGTAGGTGCTGGTTTTTTAACAGAGTTGTGGATACGTGAAACAATCTTCCCAGTAGGGTGATCGAGGCTAGGACTCTGGGCAGCTTTAAAAAGAGATTGTACAAATATATAAGTGGGAGGGGCTGGGTTTGATTTGTGTCATTGGGTATGGGAGTAAATTCTTGGGTAGCTTTGGGTAAAGGTCATTTTGATAAGGACTTGCCTTGTATGGGCCAGTAGGCCTTCTGCAGTGTTCCTCCATTCTTATGTTCTTATGTTATATTTGTCTAATCTCTTTTCAAAGCTGCCCAAAGTCCTAGCCTCAATCACCCTACTGGGAAGATTGTTCCATGCATGGTATTGGTATTTTTTGACATTTGTGAGATACAACCCTGTTTTTTTCTCTATGTTCTTCAGTTTAGATAGCTCTAAACTGAATTGCAAGGATTTTTTCAGCAACATAACCCTTACATTAACTGATGCTCTACTATACTGTAGGCACTCTTGGCTTGGTTGGTAATATCCTCAGCTCACACACTGAGACTGGAATTGATCCTTGGCACAAGTGAAATATTGGTCATGTTTTCTTACACCTGCTTCCCCTCTTTGCCTAGCATTAAGTAGGTACCTGAGTGTTAACTGACTGTTGTGGGTTGCATCATGAGGGACAAGAGTTAAATTTAGGCTGCCCAAAATGCTCCATACAGCTAGGGGCTTTCTAAGATGTATGCCAATAATGTCAACCAAGTCTATTGCAGATGCATCAATCACTTTGAAAAAAATAAGGATTGTTATTATTATTGCAGAAAATATTCAGTTTTGTTGTTAATAAGATAGAAGTAGCTTTTACAGCTTGTAAGTATATCAACCCATGACATTCAATGAACTTGTCTTATAAAAAACTCCATTTACTAACCTCCTGCCTGATGCGTGTAACAATTGCAAAGTACTGTGGGAAGTCGGTGGTCAAAATGCGTGTGATGCGGTTGGTATTCAAGTCCTCCAGTTGTTTCAACTCTGTCAATAGAAATAATTAGTATATTACCTCATTCATAGTTTATAAAATTATTTCCAGCAAGTAAATTTCTTCTAGAGATGACGCACAATACAGATAACACACCTAAATAAGAAATGAGAATCCCTTACTAAATTAATAAAATAATTTCATCTCATTCAGATTATCTTAGCAGTCATTAATTAATACATTTTAATCTATGTTTACTCAGCTAATAGGTAGTAGATTAAGTATGTACTTTCAAAATTCTCTTGTTCATTAAGCATACTGGAGTAAAACATACCCTCTCCATCAAAGCTCTCGTTAAGAACCTCTTGAACAGCTTCCTCTGTTGCCTCAAGTGTATGTTCTCGCCAGGTTTCTCCATTATCTGAGCGAAGGATCACTATCTCACGCTCTTTGCCTCGCAAAGAAGCAAAGTGCGGCACTTCAATAATCACCGGGCTGTTTGAAAAGGATATAGGAAGTGAATGAAAATAATGGCTTTCATATATTGTATATATATACATATTTGTAATTTGCTCCTTAAACAGACTCTTTTGAAAAATTAAAAATAATACAGAGGAGGGGGCATGGAAATAAAGACAAATTGTGAAAGGGTTACCACCCAAAATAGGTTAAGAACCCCTCACTGGTTTAGATAAATGAATGGGGTAAGAAATGGTTATAATATGGAAAGATACAGTGCATATATCTGATTTTTCAGACTAAGAACATTTGCATGGAAATTTTGAGAAAATGCATGAAGATGCAGATGTAAAAAAAGTATATCTAATGAAATGGAAGGTAAAAAAGAGAGAAAGAAACACTGGAAAAATGTAAAAACTCAGTGACTATGAGAACAAGAGATCTGCTTATACAGTGTATAATTATTTTTGTTTTCAACAAACCGGCCGTATCCCACTGAGGCAAGGTGACCTAAAAAGAAAAAACAGAAGTTTTTCCTTTTTAAATTTAGTAATTTATACAGAAGGGGTTACTAGTCCCTTGCTCGTGGCATTTCAGTCACTTGTTACGACATGCACAGCTTATGGAGGAAGAATTCTTGGTGTATAAATATTGTACGAAAAAGACAAAGTACAGGAATGTGAGATAGACTAGTTAGATTAAGTAAATGAATGATAGATTGTCAATGTCAAATAACCAAAGAGTATGTTATTCCTAGTTTACGAAACAAGTGAGACTGTTGTAGATTATGTGCTGGGATGTCATAGTACTAATTGTCTGTGATACTAATAAGCATGAAAAGTAATGTAAAATGACAAGAGCAATTTGAAACATCTTCCACACAGTTACCTGGAGGGTCTACCTGGAGGGTGTTCTAGGGGTCAATGCCCCCCACAACCTAGTTCTTTACCAGGCCTCCCTCTCCTTTCCCTCAATGCATTTTTCATTTAACAAGCAAATGTCTCCATGCCAAATTAAAGTAGGAAAGGAGATAACACATCAGCCACTTCCCACCCTGCCTTGGTGGGAAATGGCCGATGTATTAACAAAAAATAATAAAAAACAATGATAAAATCCATTTATAACTACAGTGGTACCCCGAGTTTCGAATTTGAACAATTATATAAGTGTATTTGTGTAAGTGCATTTGTAAGTGTATTTTTGGGGGTCTGAAATGGACTAATCTAATTTACATTATTCCTTATGGGAACAAATTCGTTCGGTATTGGCACTCAAACAGTATTCTGGAATGAAATAAGTTCAAAACTCGGGATACCACTGTAGTTAGAATTAAATATTATTATCTTAGCAACAATAAATGAGAGAACTACTCACCCTAAGAACTTGGCACCAGCAGGCCCCATCTCAAGGATCCTTGAAGCGAGAGCCTCTCCCTCCATAAGAGGTGGGGCATGAACAAGTTTATCCTTTTTCAGGTAACGGCAAGTAACTCTCATGGGCATGGCAGCCTTTCGGGGAGGAATGATGACTCGCACACCAGAATGCCTGCAGCCACGCATTGCACCCCCTCGAGCGTCAACCATGAAGCTTACCAGGAATCTGTCACATATATTTACTGTCAAATATATTTATTCTAAGGATAAGCAATTTTACACTATATCAGGCACAAGTTTAATCATATTCTCTACTAAGTAAATTACTTCCATTTCAGACATGAATTTCAGAAAAAAAAAACACTTTGGCAAAAACAGATAAATAATATTTTGAGTGGATGCTTTTTCTTTTACAATTAAATTTCACAACCAATAGGAAAAAAGAGGAGTCAAATATTTTCAGATTAATAATATTAAAAGAAAATCATTCCAATTTCATTATATAAGTAACATAAAAAAAATCAGTACTGTATACACTGAATTAAAAACAAATTTACAAATATACACTTAAATCATACAAGAAGATACTGGTAGGCAGTCAGACTATTCTGTATAAGACAGATAGCATTTTCAGTATCAAATCAAATCAAATGTTAAGTTGTTATTTACAAATCCAAGACTAATACAGAACTGTAGAATGCCTGAAATAAAAGACATCTTACCATCAAATAAAAGTATTGAGATAAAGCTGAAATATTAATGCAATCAAAGAATCCAAGTCTACTTAGAACCTAAGAACACAAAACACACCCAAGAGATACAAAAGAATATTAGTACACAACTGAATTCTACTGTGAATGTAAAACATAAGATATCTACACAGGCCTTAAATACTTAATACTCACGTCTTCCATGAGAGTTTTCTGTTACAAGAAGCGTGCAAGAAAGGTTAGAAATGCATAATTAGTTACTAGCTGTACAAAAGCCCCACATGAAAAGGTACACCATGGTTAGCATATCAAGAATAGTTGATGTTAGAACACAAAAATATATATATATATATATCTGTGTTGTATAGACTGGTACTGTATAACTAACACTTAGACAAAACAAATGATAAAGCTATGAAACAACGATTCCTTCTTAAACAACAGAAATCAATTAGCCAGTATCACCACTTCCTATGAAGTAAAACAACATTCATTTCAAAATTCTCAAACTGGAAAAGCCAATTCACAAATTTATGGTTTGGGCAAGAATAGAAATCCATGTAAAATGAAAAAATATTAGGTAGGCCAACATCGAAAATATGACTGATGTACAGGAGACTCAAAACCACAATTTTACAGAAAATATACGGGTGCTCCTCAGTTTACAATGGGAGTACATTCCGGTAAACCCATCATAAGTTGAAACTATGTATCTTAAGTCAAATATGAATGTGATATGCAAAATAAATAAGTATAAATAAATAACTACTGTCACTGAATAAGTAAATAAACAAATAATTACTGTAATTAAATACCAGTATTGAAAAGTAAATAAATGAATACGTACTAGTTACAGACTTGCTGCCTTCATCCTGGGTATATGTCCTAAGTTTCGACTCCAAAGTAATTGCTTTTGCACCCTCGTAAAGTCAAAATATCATAAGTAGAACCATCATAAGTTGAGGAGCCCCGGTATTTGTCTATATCGAGTTGCCTCACAAGTTATTGTTAAACTTTTACAGTGGTACCCCCAAGTTTCAGCCACAATTCGTTCCAGAAGGCTGTCTGTGTGCCATTACCGAATGAATTTGTTACCATGAGGAAAAATGTAAATTAGATTAGTCCATATCAGACCCCCAAAAATACACTTACAAAAGCACTTACAATAATACACCTACATAATTGTTAGAGTTGGGAGCTGTATGAAACTAGGGGTACCACTGTAATTAATTACAGTATAAATACATTAATATTTTTCTTGTCCAATATCAACCCTCAGGTACTGTCATTTTTATACATACAATCTAACACCCTCCCATCACTCGACCTAGGAAATCCGCAATAACTATTCTCAAGCCACCAACCTATGACTGATGAGCAGAGTATTGCTAATTTCAGTACAGTGGACCCCCGCATAACGATTACCTCCGAATGCGACCAATTATGTAAGTGTATTTATGTAAGTGCGTTTGTACGTGTATGTTTGGGGGTCTGAAATGGACTAATCTGCTTCACAATATTTCTTATGGGAACAAATTCGGTCAGTACTGGCACCTGAACATACTTCTGGAGTGAAAAAATATCGTTAACCGGGGGTCCACTGTATTAATATATTGGAAATGGAAGAGAAATATAGGAAATTTATTTCCTATAATTCATCTTCAATTCTAACATGGGTGTCACTGGAAAAAATAGGATGTAATTTGGTGTCTGTTTATCTCTATCTGTCAGTCTTTCTGTCTGCTTGCTTGTTGGTCAGCCTCGCTATGCATCGACTGATTTCACTGTCTATCAGACAATTTGTGTCCTTTGATGACCAATTTCTGGTCACTAAGGAGGATATGAACATCCTTCAATTGGTTCTTACACCTCTACTAGGTTCCATATTGGTTACTTTTATCCATCACCTTGCAGATACCCAAAATTTTAAGTACAGTAGTATAGATTAAAAATCAGTTAAACTTTAATTTATTAAAGAATTATACAAAATCATACAAAGCATGACACTCACTGTAAGAATACCCAATGTAGCCTCAGAGTCACAAAAACTTAATTATGTACAGTAGAACCCCCATATCCGTATCCGTGGATTCATTCCTGCAGTTCACCGTGGCCCGAAAATATTAAATTGAAAATTCCAGAAATAAATGATTCAAAGGTTTCAATAGGCTATGATATTTTTTAAAAATACATATAAAAATGTAATGTAAAAATGTATTTAGACTGTGTGTGTGTGTGTGTGTGTACAAGATATTTTACTTTGTTCCATTTGTCCCTTCAGGGTTAAGCTAAAATGTCAGAATCCCATTCATTCATTCAAGAGTACAAGAGAGTGTAAAAGAGAGTGTGAGAGGGAGAGACCTTGAGTATGCTCCACTTTCTTGGTTCGTCTGCCTCCCTCTCATCTGCGACTGCTTGACAGAGTAGAGAACAGAGCAAGACGTCTCATCTCTCGCCTGGACCAATCCTGGATAGATCTGTCATTTCAGCATAGCCTTCAACACAAGAGTGATGTGGGTAGCTTTACTGTTATGTACAAGGCCAATATTGTCAAAGTACCACACTTGGATCCTCATCAAGGACAGCGTGAAGCAAGCTTCTATACCACAAGACGGGCAGAAAGCAGCAACTTCACTCTGGCTGTACCCTTCTCCAGAACATCACGTCATCTGAGATCATTTATCCCCAGGATGACTCGAGTATGGAACACATTCGTACAGCAATATGATGTCAATGACAAAGTCAGTTGATCAGATGAAAATGCTGGCCCAAAGATGGCTCCAACTTCATCTTGTTCCCTACTTGTATGTTTCTTAACAATAAAAATGCTTTCAAATGAGCTGATGTAGGTAACAGCTCTTAGCTTGTCAATAAAGTTAGGAATCCTTAACCTGTAAATAGCTTGTCAATAAAGCTAGGAATCCTTAACCTTGTCAAACCCTGTGTAAAAAGAAAGAAAGAAAGAAAAAAAGAGAGAGAGAGAGAGGAGGAGGAGAGAGAGAGAGAGAGAGAGAGAGAGGAGAGAGAAAGAGAGGAGAGAGAGAGAGAGAGAGAGAGAGAGAGAGAGAGAGGGATGAGAGTGAGAGAGAGTGAGAGAGAGTGAGAGAGAGTGAGAGTGAGAGTGAGAGTGAGAGAGAGTGAGAGAGAGTGAGAGAGAGTGAGAGAGAGTGAGAGAGAGAGAGAGAGTGAGAGAGAGTGAGAGAGAGTGAGAGAGAGTGAGAGAGAGAGTGAGAGAGAGTGAGAGAGAGTGAGAGAGAGTGAGAGAGAGTGAGAGAGAGTGAGAGAGAGTGAGAGAGAGTGAGAGTGAGAGAGAGTGAGAGAGAGTGAGAGTGAGAGAGAGTGAGAGAGAGTGAGAGAGAGTGAGAGAGAGTGAGAGTGAGAGAGAGTGAGAGAGAGTGAGAGTGAGAGAGAGTGAGAGAGAGTGAGAGAGAGTGAGAGAGAGTGAGAGAGAGTGAGAGAGAGTGAGAGAGAGTGAGAGAGAGTGAGAGAGAGTGAGAGTGAGTGAGTGAGTGAGTGAGTGAGTGAGTGAGTGAGTGAGTGAGTGAGTGAGAGAGAGAGAGAGAGAGAGAGAGAGAGAGAGAGGAGAGAGAGAGAGAGAGAGAGAGAGAGAGAACTACATCCCTGCAGCTGCATCAGTATCCTACCTCTCACACCCACCACCTCAAGCTAACCATATCATGAGGAGCCAGTCTATCAGCATCCTGTTGGCCAACATTAGAGAGAGATTTCATTGCTAATGTTAGAGACATCACACACAGTTTTGTGAACACTCAACATCCCGACATGATAGCTGTTCTTGAAACATTTTTGGATGAGAGGGCTCCAGAAAATTTTGCAAGAATTGCTGGCTACACCTCATGGATGAGAAGAGACAGGCAAGGGCAAGGAGGAGGTGTTGCTGTGTGCTTCTCTAAAAGTGTACATGCCCAGCACATTGATGTTGCCATCCCTATCTCATCTTGAAATGAAGTTCTTCAAGCTATGCATAAACACTAGTACCTCTGTACTAGTATGTGCAATGTACAGACCTCAGTGGCAACATGAAGAACCCATAAACTTCCTAATGGAAAATGTGGACTCCCTTCTGCTACAACACAATTGTCAACATATCATACCTGTTGGTGACCTCAACCAACACCTTATACAGAGGGACTTTGATGACCTTCTTGCAGTGTTTGACATGAGAAAATTTATTGATTTCCATACTCACATCTCTGGCTCCTTCCTTGACCCAGTAGTGAGTGATCTGGCAGAAGGTATAGTCACTTGTCAACCCTTCAGCTACGTTGGATCGTCTGACCACAAGGCTCTTTTTACGACACTTAAAGATCCCAACAGAATGAGGTGAGGAGTCCACACACACAACGTGGCTATGGGAAAGAGGTAATTGGCCAGCCCTTTGCTCTGAGCTCACCACCACTGATTGGAATGCTCTTCTCCAAGGAAATGTTGACAACCAAGTTAAAGCCTTCACTGGACACATCCTTAATCTACAACAAGAACACATTCCTCACCG